AAAATTGGAAATGTCTTAGTAATGTTTCGACGAAGTCGAAGATGACGAATGGGACTTCGTCGAAACGTCGCCAAGACATTTCCAATTTTATGCGGGAGAAAACCCGAATAACCAAAGACCTACATAGATAGATAGATAGATAGATAGATAGAGAGAGAGAGAGAGAGAGAGAGAGAGAGAGAGAGAGAGAGAGAGAGAGAGAGAGAGAGAGAGAGGATAGAAAGGGAGATAATAGATAAAATGAATGAATGATAGATAAATAATGAGAAGATCGAATGAATGAATGAAAGAAATAGATGATAGATATAGATGATAGACATGATAGATACATAGACAGATAGAGAGATAATAGAATAAATGAATGAATGAGATAATGAGAAGATTGAATGAATGAATGAAAGATGATATAGATCGGTGTTTCTCAACCTTGACAATTTTAAGGCATGTGGACTTCAACTCCCAGAATTCCACAGCCAGCAATGCTGGCTGTGGAATTCTGGGAGTTGAAGTCCACATGCCTTAAAATGGTCAAGGTTGAGAAACACTGATATAGATGATTGACAAATGATAAATGATAGACAGACAGACAGATAGATAGATGATAGATGATAAATGGATGATAGAGATGATAGAGAGAGATGATGGACAGAGATAGGTAGGTGGGTAGGTAGGTAGATGGACAGATATGATAGACAGATAGAGAGAGATAGACACTGTCCAAAGTCACTTGTTGAGATGGACGGCTATAGAAAGCGGATAAATGAAATCTAATAAACACACACACGGATGCATGCATACGGGAGCCCCCCTCCCGCCCAGCCCCTGCCTGGCTGGGTCCCTCTGGGCCAGCCCTGGCCAGTCCTTGGAAAGAGGCCTGCAGCTGGGCTGGAAAAAAGAAGTCTCAGCGGGGGGGGGGGGATTTCGCTTTCTCGTAGAGAACAGAATAAAGAGCCGAGGTGGCGCAGCAGTTAGAGTGCAGTACTGCAGGCCACTTTAGCTGACTGTGTTCAGCAGGTCAGCGGTTCAAATCTCACCGGCTCAAGGTTGACTCAGCCTTCCATCCTTCCGGGGTAGGTAAAATGAGGACCCAGATTGTTGGGGGCAATGTAAATATATATATACATTGCTTACTGGTGTACACTGCTTAGAGAGTGCTTGCACTTAAAAGCGGTATATAAGTCTCATAAATAAATAAAGTCTCATAAATAAATAAAATAAGAGAAGAGAAGAATAACTTTATTCTCACTTTGAATGTACACTAATCGCCTGCCTTAAAATGAAATTTCTTCGCAGGCAGCTCTCCAGGGGTCACCCCCTCCAGTGTACACTGCACGAATAGGAGAAACATAAATAAATAAAATACAGAATTAAGCATATACCCACCTATATTATAGGACACAGAGAAACAAGACAGCCTCGTTCGGACATATTTGTGTGCGTGACGAGAAGCTACTGGAGCTTCCTTCGGCCTCCCTGGGACAATGCCCAGCCCGGGGTAGAGGAGGGCAGGGCAGGGGCTGCAGGCAGACGTCCCATTTTACCACCTTCCTTGCCCCAGTTGTAAAGGGAGTCACTGCAGGGGAAATCGCCTGACCCGGGACACTGCGACCGTCATAACTATGAGTCAGTTGCCCAGCGTCTGGATTTTGATCAGGGGACCATGGGAATGTGAAAAAGGGTCATAAGTCAGTTTTTCAGGGCCGTTGTAACTTTGATTGGACACTAAACAAACTGTTGTAAGTCGAGGGCCACCTATAAAGTTTACACCTGAGTAGCCGGCCTCAGTCTGGTGAACGAGGGAAGGTAATAATGCAGAGCCTCTTCCTTCCCATTGACCCAGCCTTTGGTTTACTCATCATTCAGTCTCTCAGTTTTAGAATAACAGAGTCGGGAGGGGCCTTGGAGGTCTTCTAGTCCATCCCCCTGCTCAAGAAGGAGAGCCTCTACCATTTCGGACAAAGGGCTGTCCAGTCTCTTCTTAAAAGCCTCCAGGGATGGAGCATTCACCACTTCTGGAGGCAAGGAGTTCCACTGGTTAATTGTTCTCGCTGTCAGGAAGTTTCTCCTTAGTTCCAGGTTGCTTCTCTCCTTGATGAGTTTCCATCCGTTGCTTCTCCTCCTGCCTTCAGGTGCTTTGGAGAATAGCTTGACTGCCTCTTCTTTGGGGCAGCCCCTGAGATACTGGAACACTGCTATCCTGTCCCTCCTTGTCCTTCTCTTCGTTAAACCAGACCTACCCAATTCCAGCAGCCCTTCCTTGTATGTTTTAGCTTCCAGTCCCCTAACCATCTTTGTTGCTCTTCTCTGCACTATTTCCACAATCTCAACATTTGTTTTACATCGTGGCGACCAAAACTGGATGCCGTATTCCAAGTGGAGTCTAGAAGGACTGGAAAGGGTGTGTGTGTGTGTGTGTGTGTGTGTGTGTGTGTGTGTGTGTGTGTGTCTGTCCTTGCAAACAAGATTGATTGGCAAGATGGAGAAGCCTGGGGAGGGATGGGCGATGCTGTGACAGTCAGCCGGATTTCCTTCCCTCCTTTTATTTCTGTCTCTCTCTGCCCTTGGCCTGACCTTCTGCAGCCGGAATGGGAGCTGAGTGAGGGATGGTTGCACATTTATTTCACCGATTTTGCAACCTGCCCCAATCTGCACCCTCTGCCTGGACTAGTATTACACCAGGTGAATGCAGCACAAAAAAGAGAATGGAATGGAAGTAAGAATAGGACAGGACAGGACAGAATAGAATAGAGAAAAGGAATAGAATAGAATAGAATAGAATAGAATAGAATAGAATAGAATAGAATAGAATAGAATAGAATAGAATAGAATAGAAAAAAGGAACAGAACTTCAAGCTTATGCAGACGACTTAGCATTTATATTAGAAGACCCAAAACAATCAGGCCAGAAATTATTCAAAATATTGGAAGAGTATGGGAATCTGGCAGGTTTGAAAATAAATAGAAACAAAACAAAGATTATCACAAAAAACATGACTAACATACAAAAAGGAAACCTCGAGGCAAAATTAAGTATACAAGTAGTTTCCAAATTAAAATATTTAGGGATAGTTATTTCAGCTCGCTGCTCATCAATTAAAGAAGACAATTATGGCAAATTGGTCAAGAATATAAAAGTAGATTTAGACTGCTGGAAAAATTTACATCTCTCATTACTTGGGAGAATTGCCGCAGTGAAAATGAACATGTTACCTAAAATGATATTCCTGTTTCAGAATATTCCAATTCAATTAGACAAGAAATTTTTCAAGGAGCTGAATAAATTAACCTTAGGATTTTTGTGGTCCGGTAAGAAGGCAAGAATAAAATTAAAGGCACTACAGGATGCCAAAGAGAGGGGAGGTTTAGGTTTCCCAGATTGGGAGCTCTATTACCAAGCAGCGGCCCTAACATGGATTAGAGATTGGATAACCTTAGAAAATAAAGATGTTTACATTTAGATCAGTGGTTCTCAACCTTTTTAATGCTGCGACCCCCAACTGGTTGTAAGTCGAGGACTACTCAACCGGTCGTAAGTCGAAGACTACTCAACTGGTGCAGCACCGTTTGCAGACTGGGACTTTTGGCGGGCTCAGCAGGGCAGAGACAGCCTGGACCATTCCTATTGGCTTTTGAAAGCCAATAGAATTAGACCCTATTCAAGAGGGTCTATTCTATTGGCTTTCAAAAGCCAATAGAATAAAAGGGAGGAGCACAGCTAAGGAAAAGGGAGAAAAAAATGGCGGACTGCATTGTTTGGCGACCCCTGTGAAATGGTCGTTCGACCCCAAATGGGGTCCCGACCCACAGGTTGAGAACCACTGATTTAGAGGGTTATGACCTCCAGCAGGGCTGGCATGCTCACATATGGATGGGGCAAAGCAGAAACCACCAATATTTTTTAAGGCATAAGGTTCGGCAAAAATTAATAAAAAGCTGGAATAAAGTTAAACATCAATATTACACAAAGATCCCGGCTTGGCTATCGCCTTTGGAGGCAGTCACATACCCCAATTTGTACAGGATAGACAAAGCTATTACATGTAAAGACATCTTGACAGAAAAAGGTTATTTAAAAGAAAAACAAGACCTAAAACAACAAGGAATAGACATGGAGTGGTGGACCAGGGAAGAAGTTGGTTCCTCTTTTTTGACTTGAGTTCTTATGTTCTTCAATGTGTACACTTATTCTTCTGTTGGTTTGTCTGATGTATGCAGATGTTTCATGACCCAACTAGGTAACTTCATCAGTGCTAGAAGAGGGTGTGTGGGGAGGAGCTGGGGGCAGGAGGAAAAAGACCGTGGGGTCCTGGATGCTCTCTGAGGTTGGTGGTTTCCTTGCAAACGTTTCATGACTCAAGCAAAGAACATCATCAGTGCTAGAAGTGGGAATGCAGAGAGGAGGAGGAGAAGAATTGTGGGGTCCTTGGTGCTCTGTGAGCTTGGATGTTTCCTTGCAGATGTTTCATGACCCAACTGAGCAGCAGCATCAGAAGGGAGAGGGGGGGTTGTGGGGAGGAGGAGGAGGGAAGGGGAACGTCTGTAGGGTCCTTGGTGCTCTCTGCACTTGTTGGTCTTCCTGCAGACCTTTCATGACCCATCTAGGTAACATCATCAGTGCTGATGACGATATTAGATGCATTGATGATGTTACCTAGTTGGGTAATGAAACGTCGGCAAGAAAACAGCCAGGGAGCCCTTCAGTTCTGATGCTGGGAATGGGGTGCCCGGAGTTGCGTGTGCCAGGGCAGATCCCTGGTTCTCGGTGGCACCTTGGCAAGACTTGGCCGGGTGCTGCTGAGGGGTCTTTCTTCCCCAGGTGACCTTCTCCTGCTCTCCTGGGGACCCCAAAGCCCATCCTCCTCAAATCCTCTCCAAAGGTGTCTCTCTCAGCTTATTTTCCACTCACGCTGATCAAGGTCCAGGAGGCCGGGATGAGTCCGTGGCTGGCGAACGAGTGCGTTCATCTCTCTCCCTCCTTTCTCCTCTGCTTTTTCCTCCAGGACATCTTTACACCTGAGTGCAAATTCAAGGAGTCCGTCTTTGAAAACTACTATGTGATCTATTCTTCCACGCTGTACCGGCAGCAGGAATCGGGGAGAGCCTGGTTCTTGGGACTCAATAAAGAAGGACAGATTATGAAGGGCAACCGGGTGAAAAAGACCAAGGCTTCCTCACATTTTGTACCCAAACCCATAGAAGGTATGTGGGGAAGCTCCTTCGCGGAGCCCTGGCTTGGGGGAGAGGCGGGGAAGTCGGACCGAGGGGTGCCTTTCGCTTTTCTTGGTCAGACGCAGCCGGTCTCACTGACTCGAGCCAGCTAAAGTTCTATGCAAATGACGTCTCTCCCTCCCTGGCTGTACCACAGCCGAGATTCTTCTTTCCCACCTGATTTGGGGGGGGGGTTGAGCATGGATGGGGGTGAAGGCACCCACGAGGCGCTGCACAGGTGTCAGTCTTGCTGTGTACATTTGCATCCAAGAAACTCAGATTAAGCAGAGCAAAAAAAAAAAAAAAACCATAGTAGAGATGAACAAAGGAAGAAGGGACATTTACTAGCATCTTGGGTTGTGTTTGTGGTTGCTGGATTTTTTGGAACCCGGTTTGTGATGCGGGAGGGTGTCTGATCCTGCAGATGTGCACCAACAGCTGTCGCTCAAAGGGAAGGCCCAGAACCGAGTAAAGGAACCGGACCATAAACACGTTTGCATCCAAGGGACTCGTTCGCTAGTTGCAAGGAGAAGCCTCAGTCTTTCTGGATTCACTGTGGGTGGGGTTAAATCCTCCAGCGATGAAATCTAAGTCTTTGGATGGGAGACCACTAGGAGATCCCAAAACGTAGGGCGGATTAAGAAGTAAAAATAAAAAAAATTAAAAATCTCAGTGGGAGGTAGTGATCAGGAAAACGACTTCTGCAGTTTTCTACAATATCAGACGAAATTCAGCATGACAGGAAGGCATCATCCTAAGTTTTTTGCACCCTGCTCCTTTCTCGGGACAAAAACCCTAACACAAAGTCCTGTGGACGGCAAATCTGCAAAGGCAAATATGCTGGATGCTGGTTAGTTTCTGAGGTCCCAGGTGACCGTTGGGTTGACTGGGGGGGGGGACTTTCCTGCTGGATTTAAGGCCTTTGTTCTATGATGTGCCAGGCATTAATGAAGTGGCTGTTTTGTTTCCCCAGTGTTTCCCCAGTGTTTCCCCAATGTTTCCCCGATGTTTCCCCAGTGTTTCCCTAGTATTTTCCCAGTGTTTCCCCAGTGTTTCCCCAATGTTTCCCCAGTGTTTCCCCAATGTTTCCCCAGTGTTTCCCCAGTGTTTCCCAGTGTTTCCCCAGTGTTTCCCCAATGTTTCCCCAATGTTTCCCCGATGTTTCCGCAGTGTTTCCCTAATGTTTCCCTGATGTTTCCCCAGTGTTTCCCTAATGTTTCCCCAACAGCCCCTTCACAAACGCCTGGCACAACACAGGAGAACAAACCCAACAGGACAAGAGTCAGCCATCCATCTTCCTTTGAAAGACCAAGGCTGTTCTTTTGCAGACAGCCAAGTCCACATTTTGGACAGGGAGGACCACTGGTTTGAAAGAGGGGGTCAAAGAGGCCATCTAGGTCAAAATTGAATGGCCCTCTCTCAATGGGGGGGGGAAATATGACATCCTCTATCTCCAGTCTACCACACAGTCCCAAGAAGGCTCCATTTGCACCCCTGAGGTGACCCTGAGGACACAGGTAAGCCTCCAAGTGGTCTCCCCGACTCTCTAAAAGGAGGCAAATGACCAGCTGTCTGCGAGGAGTATAAATCCTTCCCTTCCCTACCCTCCAGTCTAAAGCGGAAGAAGCTTCTGGGATGGGAAGCGAAACATCCTCAAAGGAGAAACTCCAGTTGCCTCCTAAAAAAGCACCTTTGGGACAACCAGGACCTGGAGAATGGAGCATCTCCTTAGACAAGAGACCAACTTGCTTTTGCAGTCTCCAATGCCTGTTTCCTACAGCCACATAGGGAAAATTTGCAGATGACCAGATTGATCTGGGACAGGGGTAGGCAACCTTGGCTCTTTCATGACTGGTGGACTTCAACTCCCAGAATTCCTGAGCCAGCGTGGGGGAACTACGGCTCCCTTAATGACTCATGGACTTCAATTCCCAGAATTCCTGAGCCAGCATGGGGGAACTACAGCTCCCTTAATGACTCGTGGACTTCAACTCTCAGAATTCCTGAGCCAGCATGGGGGAACTATGGCCCCCTTGATGACTTCTGAACTTCAACTCCCAGAATTCCTAAGCCAGCGTGGGGGAACTACGGCTCCCTTAATGACTGGTGGACTTCAACTCCCAGAATTCCTAAGCCAGCATGGGGGAACTGTGGCCCCTTCATGACTCGTGGACTGCAACTCCCAGAATTCCTGAGCCAGCCTGGCTCAGCTTGGAAACCTCTCCCTTTCCCCTCAGTGTGGCTGGCTCAGGAATTCTGGGAGTTGAAGTCCACGAGTCATAAAAGAGCCAAGGTTGCCTAGCCCTGTTCTGGGAGGTCAAGCCAAGGACAAACGGCCAGTCCTTTATAATCCAAGAAGCTGTGGGCAATTTACAGTTCCATGCATAACTAGGGAGCGGATTAATTCAATAACCAGATTAACCAGATGGTCCTGGGAGGAAGGGGGGAGGGAGGGGCTGATCCCCAATTTTGATAAATGCAGTCTCCAGACCCCTCTTCCAGCCCAAATGATTCTCAGGACGACTGGAAAAACAGCGTAGAGAAAGCTGGGTCTTTTTTTTATCTCTTGAACTGAAAATGAAATAACCGGGAACTTAGATCGATAAGCTGTCAGGAAATTAAGTCCCGGTCATAAAGCATGGTGCCTGGTATAAAAGGAGAGAAACAAACAGCTAAATTGGGCATTTACTGATCATCCAACTCTGATGACCAAGAGGCTGAAGGTTCTTCCCTCTAGAGCAGCGATTCTCAACGTATGGGTCGCGACCCCATTTAGGGGTCGATCGACCATTTCACGGGGGTCGCCAAGCAAGGCTGTCCGCCATTTTTTCCCCCTTTTCCGGCAGGTGCCTTACCTCCCTTGGGCTGGGCCAGTGGTGGCCCAGCCGGTGGTCGGCCTGCTCCGTCTCTGCCGCTTGCCAGCTATGCCTTGGCCAGCGCAGGGGGCGGCACCACACATGCGCAGCGCTCCCGGGCAGGGAAAGTCCTCAACTTATGACCGGTTGGGTAGTTCTCGACTTACGATCGGTTTAGTCCTTAACTTACGACCGGTTTAGTCCTCGACTTACAATCGGTTGGGGGGTTGCGGCATTAAAAAGGTTGAGAACCACTGCTGTAGAGCGGCAATGAATGCTTGGCTCCTATGTATCCCGGTTGCCCAGATCCCTGGGTCATGTGACCTCCTTTTGCGACCTTCGGACAATCCAAGTCTGACAATTAACCAGTGCAGCAACTTGTCTCCAGAGGTTGTGGGTGCTCCATCCCTGGAGGTTTTCAAGAAGAGACTGGACGGCCATTTGTATGAAATGGTGTAGAGTCTCTTGCCTTGCGCAGGGGGATGGACTAGAAGACCTCCGAGGCCCCTTTAAACTCTGTTTATTTATTTATTTATTTATTTACAAATATTTATATGCCGCCCAATCCCAAAGGACTCAGAGCGGCGTACAAGGTTAAAAACAGTCATAAAAGAATAAAATAATCCAGTCATACCGCGAGTCCGATCATATCCCGGTCCCCGGGGACATCAGCCCCAGGCCTGCCGGAACAGGAGAGTTTTAACGCCTTTCTTAAAGGCCGGCAGAGTGGGAGTAGTTCGAACCTTGGGGGGAAGTTGATTCCACCAGGTCAGAGCCACCACAGAAAAGGCCCTTCCCCGAGGGCCCGCCAGCCGACATTGTCTGGCCGACGGGACCTAAAGGAGGCTCAATCTGTGGGACCTCACCGGTCTCTGGGAACTGTGGGGCAGTATGCGGTCCTGTAAGTAACCTGGTCCTATGCCATGAACCTGGCCCTATGCCATGTTATTCTGTTAAAGTCAGCAGGGAAGCCCGATTGACTTCACCTCCATGTTCCTAACTTAACAACTGCAGCGCTTGACTCAACCCCTGTTGCAATGGGACAAATCACTCCACTGCTGTCTTGCTAACCATGGAAATTTGGGTGGGACAGGGAGGGGGCTTCTGAGCTGGGGCGCAAGGTGGGCTGTGCAGGTACATTGAGGGGGGGGGGTTGGTGGGTGCCATGCCTTGACCTCTCTCTCTCTCTCTCTCCTGCCCACAGTGTGCATGTACAGAGAGCCTTCCCTGCATGAGATTGGAGAGAAGCAAGGACGTTCTCGGAAGAGTTCGGGGACGCCCACCATGAACGGAGGCAAAGTGGTCAACCAGGACTCCACATAGCCTGACCAAGTGCCCACCACCCTCCTCCTCTTCCTCACGGGCAACCAATCCCTGCCACTTGCCCACCGCCACCCGCCCGCTCGCCAGGCCCCCCACCCCAGCGAGGCTGGAGCCGAGATCCACGGGCGACTTCCCTCCGCGCAGGACGAGGCGTCCATGCCTCCTGCTCTGGGACAGAGTCCAGCGTACACACACACACACACACACACACACACACACACACACACACACACTTGTAGGCACACCCACAAACACACGTGAAAGGGAGTGTATATTCAACTGAGCGTGGACGCAGGAGAGCTTCATTGAATATAGATTCCATCTAGGATTCCCATTTACATTTGAAACAGCAAAACTCTGCTCCATTACTTGGATGGGGGAACTGGTCATCCCCGCATAACAAATATTATTATTACTATAAATAAATTATCTATCTATAATAAATGCATAATAAAGGTGTTATCTTTAAAAATAAAACAGATTTGCTTTTTGGAGAAGTGAACTTTCTTTGTGATTGGGAAGTGAAGGGAGAAAATTGCACGCCTCGGAAATGGCTGTCCTTTTGGGTCTGCGGGGGAGCCAGCCCTGGATGCCAATAGGGTGGAGGGGCAAGCGGGAAGTCTCTTGCAGGATTCCAGTCTGGGTTGGTCACCGGGGACCTTCCTCACATTCCAATGAAGAAAGACATACATTCCATTCTGCAGCTACTAAGATTGTTGGCTGAGCAGGTACAAAAACAGCCAGGGAAGTGATGGAAGCCTTGGAAATGGGCCCCTTGTCGATCAGCTGGAGGGCTGATTTACCACTACTGGTAGCATATTGTGTACTTAGGAGCCAAGGACTTGGCAGCACAAGGAAACAACAGCCAACGACTTAACAGCCAGCTATCAACACCCCAATCAACAACAAAATCCATCAGGCACCTCATAAATACTATGCATAGAATAGCCCAAAGGACACATACTGGAGACACAGGATCCCCAAGGATGGGCGCCAGCAGGAATCCAGAAGCTCGGAAGACTAAACCTGATCTTGGTGATTGATCCAAATTGGATCCTGGAACATTATCGTGTGACACGTAGATTCACCTTCATTCGACTCAGGCTCTCTTGCGTGATTTAAGACCACCATTTTATTTTATTTTATTTTATTGTTTTATATTTTATTTTAATTTTATTATTTTATATTTTATTTTATTATTTATAATATTTTACTTTATTTTTTATTTTATTTTATTATCTGCATCCCACTTCTCTTGTTCTTACGAATAATTCAAGGGAGTGAGCACAGCCAAGACTTCCCCCCCCCCTTTCTCCAGGGGAAACTGAGGAGGGGACAGGTGGGCTGCTTTTGCACAGGGGATCTCCAAAGACTGGATCCAGGATGCCTTCGTTGATCTGCTGCCTTGCCTGCCTGTCGTTTCTGGGGGGGGGGGAGGAGGATCCAAGATGGCGGTTGGCACTGAAGCCATCTTGACTTTTTTAACCAGTCAAGGACCCCTTTGTCCCAAGGGTCTGCTTGCATTGTTTTTTGATAGATATTTTATTTTCTAACTCAACTATGCTCCCCCTCTGATTGTCATCTCTTTCTCTCTCCCTCCCTCTCACTCTTTCACCTATCTGTTTATATCTACCACCTATCTTCATCTATCCTATATATCACATCTATCACCTATTCATACCTACAGCTTCTTCTTCTTCTTCTTCTTCTTCTTCTTCTTCTTCTTCTTCTTCTTCTTCTTCTTCTTCTTCTTCTTCTTCTTCTTCTTCTTCTTCTTCTTCTTCTTTGAATTCTGGGAGTTGAAGTCCACGAGTCATGAATGGGCCACAGTTCCCCCATGCTGGCTGAGGAATTCTGGGAGTTGAAGTCCACGAGTCATAAAAGAGCCAAGGTTGCCTACTCCGGCCCTAGTTGTTAAGCAAATCACTGCAGGGGTTAAGTGAATCACTGCAGCAGTTAAGTTAGGAACACGGAGGTGAAGTCAATCAGGCTTCTCCGCTGACTTTAACAGAATAACAGAGTTGGAAGGGGCCTTGGAGATCTTCTAGTCCATCCCCTTGCGCAAGGCAAGAGACCCTACACCATTTCATACAAATGGCCATCCAGTTCTTGAAAACCCGCAGGGAGGGATGAAGGAAGGAAGGAAGGAAGGAAGGAAGGAAGGAAGGAAGGAAGGAAGGAAGGAAGGAAGGAAGGAAGGAAGGAAGGATACCAGAATAACAGTTGGAAGGGACTTTGGAGGTCTTCTAGTCCACCCCCCCCCCCCGCTCAAGCAGAAGACCCTATACCTTCCCAGTCAAATGGCTGCCCAGTCTCTTCTTAAAAACCCCCAGCAATGGAGCACCCACCACTTCTAGTGGCAAGCCGTTCCACAGCTTAATTGTTCTCCAAAAAAATAACATTAATAATTTTAAATCAGGACTTTCAGTTTTTTGGGGGGGGGGCAAAAGCTTCCACCCACTCGGATGTCGCCCTTCTTGATGCCAACCGGAGCCTTGAGGCCCAAATTCCGGCGTGCCAAACCCGTTCCCGGCTCTGGAGCGTGAGCTGTGCAGGCCCTCGCCCATCCGTCATGCGGCTGGCTAAGCAGCCTGGGTGATGTCAGTCTTCCCTTTGGCAGCGGCTGCCAGCGCAGCTCGAACAAGGTGTGCGAGGCGGCTCGGGAAAGGCTGCCTGTCATTTTAAATATAAATTATGGCACTGCAACATCTCCTGAAAGGGCCTCGGAGGCCGGGGCGCAGCCTGTCCTGCCGTGCGGCTCAACGATGCAGAACTGTATTTATTCTGCTCCAGCTGGACACCTCCAGGTTGGGCTGGTGCCAGGGAAGGCGCAGGCTGAGGGGGGGGGGAGAGCCAGAGAGGCGGGGGGGGGGCTTGCTGTGCGCAGGTGATGAGTGGAAGGTCTTGGGGGTCTCCTTTGGGGCCGGCCTTGGCCAGCCAGGGGGAGGCGAGGGGTGGGAGAGGGTGGGTTTTTTCCAGAAGCTCTCAGGTGCCCAGGAAGGAGGGGGCATCGGTCTAAGGAGAGCGTATCTGACAGGCAGGAGAGCAGGGCAAGGGGAGATGAGGTGTGTCCCCCCCCCCGCCGCCACTGGGCTGGGCCCCTCCCCAATTCCTCGTGCCCTGGAGGAGGGGAAGGCCAAGGGGTCTCCAAACGCCCAGCCTGAAGCGGGCAGGGGGTTGCTTGGGGTAAGGGGCGGCAGCCAGGGGCTTCCCTCACGAGGGTGGTCTTTGGGTGAGGGTAGCCCACTGGAGTGAAAGTAGGAAGAGGGAGGATCAGCCAGCCGGTCCCACCCATCGCCCAGCTTAGCCTGCTTCAAAGGGTTGTTGTGAGGACACAACCAGCTACGGAAATCAGGGTGGAGACATGTAACGACGCTGGCATTTAGCACTGTTAGAATGAAAAGCAGGGGAGAAAAGCCAGCAACGTGTTTATCTGCTTTCTTCTGGACCAGGCTACAGGATTGCAATAAATAAAACCCTCCTCCTCCTCCTCCTCCTCCTCCTCCTCCTCCTCCTCCTCTCTCCATACCCTTCTGATAATGTTACCTAGTTAGGTCATGAAATGTCTGGAAAAAAACCACCAAGAGTATCAAAGACCCCTACAGTTGCCACCACCACTACTACTACTATTACTACTACTACTACTTCTTTCTTCTTCTTCTTCTTCTTCTTCTTTCTTCTTCTTCTTCTTCTTCTTCTTCTTCTTCTTCTTCTTCTTCTTCTTCTTCTTCTTCTTCTTCTTCTTCTTCTTCTTCTTCTTCCTCTCCTTCTCCTTCTCCTTCTCCTTCTCTTTCTTCTCTTTCTCCCTTTTCTCCTCCTCCTCCTCCTCCTTCTTCCTCTTCTCCCCTCCTCCCCTCCTCCTCCTTCCTGCAAATCTCACTGCCTTCTAGCACTGATAATGTTACCTAATTAGGTCATGAAATATCTGCAAGAAAACCACCAAGCTCGGAGAGCATCAAGGACTCCATTGTCTTTTACCACCACCTCCTCCTCCCCCCACACAAATTGTCACTGTTCTTAAGGAAGCACCCATAAAAGACATGAGAAGATCTTGGGGGGGGGGGAGTTGGTGCTCCTCTCTAGAGTTGGGTGTATGTAAACGGGTCAGGTGCCCGTGACGCTTTCGTACAGAGCAGAGAAGACACGAGAAAGTTCATTCTCCTCTAAGCTTCCTGTGTCTCTTTCAAGATGCCTCAGCTGGACACAGCCTGGGGTGCAGTGACTTCTTGGGCTAATTTTCCATATCCTCTCCAACGGAGGGATGGGTCCCAGCGGAAAGGACGTCCAAGAATCCCAGTCCCTTGAACTGGGAGGATGGAGAGCAAGCTTTGAGGAAGCCCATTCCCAGGTCAAGGAGACACCAAGAACGGAGGAGGACCTGACCTGGTCAGCGACGACAGGACAATTTTCAGGCTAAAGCAGAGAGTGGAAGAGCAAATTTGTATTGCAGAAAGCAAATTTAAGAGCTTTGGGAAGCAGGAGCCTCCTTCGGCCTTCTGGGGCCTCTCAGAGCAAAGCCCCAAGGAGAATAAAATAAATTACAAAAGACCTTTGCTTCCCCCCGACGGTTATTTATTATGTATTTATTTATTTACCGGAGCTATCAAATTTGAAAGCTGATGGCACATTGAAGGATTGGAGTAAACGTTTTTGGTCATTCTGCTCACCCAGCATGCTGAACTTTGTTACCAAATTAACCCACTCAGTTGTGGATTCACACAATACGTTCAACTCTCAAGAGGCTCCTTCAGCCCCAAAATGCTTCGCCCAAGGGCTGAATTAAGCCGTTTTCTGGAGATGTCAATTCATTAAGGCGACCAGAGAGATGTTGTGCAGGACACACGCCTGGAGGGGAAAGCAGCTCTCGTCAGGCTTACAGAATGCACAACACAGGATGCAGAATAAGAGAGCTGGAAGGGACCCTGGAGGTCTTCTAGTCTAACCCCCTGCTCAGGCAGAAGACCCTACACCATTTCAGACAAAGCCTTCTTGGAAGGAAGGAAGGAAGGAAGGAAGGAAGGAAGGAAGGAAGGAAGAAGGAAGAAAGGGAGGAAGGAGGAAGGAAGGAAGAAGGAAGGAAGGAAGAAGGAAGGAAGGAAAGAAGGAAGAAGGAAGGAAGAAAGGGAGGAAGGAGGAAGGAAGGATGGTGGAAGGAAGGAAGGAAGAAGGAAGGAAGGAAGGAAGGAAGGAAGAAGAAAGGAAGGAAGAAGGAAGAAAGGGAGGAAGGACGAAGGAAGGAAGGTGGAAGGAAGAAAGACAGGAAGGAGGAAGGAAGGAAGGTGGAAGGAAGGAAGAAGGAAGAAGGAAGGAAGGAAGAAAGGGAGGAAGGAGGAAGGAAGGAAGGAGGAAGGAAGGAAGGTGGAAGGAAGGAAGGAAGGAGGAAGAAAGGAAGGAAGGTGGAAGGAAGGAAGGAAGAAGAAAGGAAGGAAGAAAGGAAGAAGAAAGGAAGGAAGAAGGAAGAAAGGGAGGAAGAAGGAAGGAAGGAAGGAAGAAG